GCTTAGATTGAAATCACTTAGTCGGAACGAGCTACGTGACCAGGATTATTATTATACTCACAATCTAGACGAGCCTATTTTCGGAATTATCTGATCTTTTAGGACTGGCATCTGCTAATCATTACTATATCTAACAGATCCATTGGTATAAAAACCACGAATCCTATATAGCAATAGTAAAACAGTAATTTGTTATATTATAACACTTTGGTTGACGTATTTTCATATATGACATATTCCGAGTCTATAATTAAATCTTGAATAAGAGCTCCAATCCATAGCTTTACAAATTATCCTGAACCCGATGAAGAAGGGGTTTGGGGCCCTGGTCAGTCCAACCCCTTATTTAAGAATTGAGCCAGACAATGTTCAATCTAAACTTATTTTTTATGTAAACAGAAACGGTTACATTTTTACCATCCCTTTTGAATACCTCAATGCATTTATTCCTTTTGTAGATATCAAGCCATTTCGCTTTTTGAGCTGGCTATGCCGCCCAATGAGATCAGCATCAGTCACCATTATCTAGAAACTTTGAACATACCTACTATGCATTTCCGTAGACCTCTTTGGCATGCAAATAATATAAAAAATAATAGACTAATCGAGACTGATTCCAAGGAGGAGAGGGATGTTTGCAACTCTTCTTCGTCGAATACTCTACCCGCTGATGTTCTTTTAAATTCCGCTGCTTCCACAGTCTCGTCCGCCTTCGATGACGAAATGAACGTTGGCTCTAATTTCATGATATGCGACAATACCGTTTTTGTCAATTCATTCACTGATTGGACTCCTTCTGAAGATTGTGGCGCTGCCGTCATGGTGATTGTGCCAAACTACTTAGCAAAGGAAGCTTATGATACCTTAGAGAAGTAAGCTAATTATCAAATTATCAATCGATTCCTTGCCATTTTTGTTTGCATACTTTAGTACCCTTAAAGCGATAGATTGCCTAACCTAAAGGGAAGATTATACTTTTCATTGAGGAATGCTATTACTTACATAGGATGTAGCATTTGAGATTCATTTGTTGTTTATTTGTTTCTGTGTGTTTGTGTGTGCATTCCTGCGTTCTTTATTCTTGTTTATTTGTATTTTAGGTACTACAACATTTATAACGCCGTGAGGCATCATCTCTTAACCCTACAACACAAGACTACTTCAGAACAGTTCCTTACCCATTTGGAAGCGTTTAACACAAATTTACGAGTAAGCCATCACAAATAGGTGCGTTGGTAATGATTATGACTATCGGGGAATCTTTCAGATCAAATGAAGAAAAAACTTATTTTCTCTTTTTTCAACATTACCATTTTATGCTCCCAGATGCTTGTGTTCTTCCAAACTGAACTGAATATTTGACACCACGTAC